TGTAGAACCATCTCAGGGATGATCAGAAGAAATGGACAGCACCTAAGTTAAATATATGAGTGTCACAGCAAAGGGTCTGAATACTTATGACCATGTGATATTTCAGTTTTTCTTTTTTAATAAATCTGCAAAGATGTCAAAAATTCTGTGTTTTTCTGTCAATATGGGGTGCTGTGTGTACATTAATGAGGAAAAAAATGAACCTAAATGATTTTAGCATATGGCTGCAATATAACAAAGAGTGAAAAATTTAAGGGGGTCTGAATACTTTCCGTATCCACTGTATGTGGCTAATAAAAGTAGTTATCATTATCAAATTTTGCCAGAGCACGGAGATTTATACATTTTTCCCACTTCCCTGACTACACCGAAGTAAACCAGTTCCAAAAATTTTCCTTTTTTGAAAAGACCAGGGAGCAAGCAAAATATTGCTTGATGTCAGTGCTGTATTTGACCTGCCCCTACAAACAAGACTTCTCCTTTCCTGCGTGAGTGACTTGTATATTTGTTTTGTATACCAATCAATAGCATGGAAGATGTGAAAGCATGGAGCTGGTGTGAGGGATGCAGCAGTTAAACACAAGGAGTCTTATCCATGTGTGCACAGAGAGGCTCTTTAAGCACACAGAAAGACGTGCCTTTATGTGTTTGCAATCACACACACACACACACACACACACACACGGAGCATACAGCAGAAATTAATGACTAAATCAATCATACAGTATGTATAGACTGTGCTTGTCATGTATGCTTTCCTTTTATAACATACTGTAGGTCCTGTTTCCCTATCAGCGCCATCTTTCAGGGTGTCTCTCACTGCGCCTAAAAAAATTCCCCAACCACAGGATGTGTCTTTGCTATTGCAATATCAATATTCCCTAGTTCAATACATTGCAATCTCCATTTGTCAATACATGAGCTCCTTAGAGGCACGCTGAGGATGCAGCTCATTCATTAGGTAGACCTTGTTTTGTTGGCTCAGATGGGCTCTTATTGACTCAGATCCATTAGGTAATAATAACTAAATGAATTTGGAATTTTGTTCAAACTCTCAAGCAGTGAAATTAATAAATTATTACAATAAACATTGACATTTTAGCAGTTCAGGGTTGAGGGTTAAAATTTTTTTTGTCAGTTTCTAATTTAGCAAAGGAAAGATTTATCATTACAAATTTCAAACTATAGATTCATTGCACCACTGCCTCTTTATTATAACACAAAGAACGGAGTAAATAACATTCATGCATTGTAGAAGATGAGGAAAATTCATGCTGTTAAACATTTACAATACAGTTTACCTGGAGCAGAGGTTGGACACCCTG